ATATATATATATGTATATTGAATATACGTACGTAAATATACATTGCATTATTTAAGCATTTAAGGTTCAGCTTCACCGTTAAAAGCGTTTATTCCTTATCATTTATGTATTTATATATCCTAAGATATGTTTAAAATATTTTAGTTTTTTTTATCTTAATACACGACATGCTTAACAGGAAGACATCAAATGTGATAAGATAGTCCATTTCTTTCGTTATCGTTTAGTTTGTCGTGGCTGAGACAGCAGCAATTGAAACTCGCCGCTAGGAGAGATGAAAGGAGCCCGGGTAAGCTTTGGCGACAAGAGACCGGAAATCGTGTCATCGGCGAGCTTAGGAGCTTGCAGAAAGGAAGATTGAGACACGATGGTTACGCGAGCGATTCGGCAGTCCTCGATGACGATGAGGATGGATGGACAGCGAATTCCGTTTCCGGACAAGTAAGAAATCATCATTGTTTGATTAGATATTGATTGAAGAAAACTTAATCCGATAATTAATAATTAAATGTTCTTACATAAATTTTTTTCATGGTGATGTAAAGAAAAAAAAATAGGAAAATATTGTAAGATGTAATTGTTTGCAATATGGAGAGACTTTTTTTTTAATGAAATTGTTAATCCTAGAACGCAAGTATGACATGAAAGAAATTGGAGCACGCGCGTATTTAATAAAAGATTAATGTTTCTCGTTTGATATATATGATTATTTACTATTAGATTCCTGTATTTTATGTAACCTAAAACTTTTCCAGTATACAAATACAATTTACTTACAATTAACTTTCTCGCAACTTACTAATAGAACAAGCTATGATTTAGTAAACTATATTTACTAATACGAAAGACAAATCGCGCATTCTAGGATTAACTTTGTTGACATTTACCATTTATCGATTAGCCGTCGTCGAGAGCTGTTCCGTACACCTCCGCACCAGCTAGTCCTCTACTTCCGCAGAGATCGAGTAGCCGGAAGTATAACGGCAGTACCGGAAATGGTGTTCTCGGCAGACCGCGAGCGGAGAGTATGAACGAACGACCGTTTGTTTCTGTAAAGCGTGCTTATGAATACCGCAAGTATGACAGTCAGGTAAGTACATGTGTATGCATTTGAGCGTGTTCCATGCACTCTTTGCTCATTAGATTGCTGGAATCACGCGCGCCGTCGTTTCGAATATTCAAATTGCATATTATAACACACAATAATTACACAGATTCTGATATTATTATATACTTTATAAGGGGCAGGCAAACGATTAAAGCAATTTAAATAAATTGAAATTGATTAGAAATTTAAATAAAAAATATTATATATAAATAAAATGGATTTTATTTTAACGATATTTTGCATTCAGTTTACACTTAATTTTAATATCCTTTAGATATTAGAAAAATTATTATATATTATAAAACTAATTGATGAGTTAAATTGTTCGATAAGTACGGGTAATATTGGATGAAATAAATAGTTATTCTCGTGGAGTTCGGAACGGTGGTACGGTCGATTTCGCTTTACGCCAATAAGACGGCGGCAGCACGAACGCTACAATTTAGGCTCCATAGATAACAAGTTAGGGAAACTTCTCCAACGTTCACCTTATAGAAATACCATATAGTTAGACCCTAAATGGCAAGAGACGGTCTCTCTCTAAGACCGTGAAGCGATTACCTATCTGAGATAGAAATCCCCCTTAATCCTTTTTCGTGCTATACTTTCGATACATTTACGAGAAAAGGAACTCGAATTGCACAATAAAGTATTGGACACATTACTAATTTTAATTATTTAAATACTGTATAATTTTGTTTTAAGTACATTAATTTATAGTTTATTATATAAGTATATTATTATATAATAACAAACATTTATTTTACTTAACACAATACTCATTACATTAATATTATGTTCATAAATGTTATCGACTAAAAAGTTCTGCTTTAATACTATTAATTTGTCATTATCATAAATAATATTTTTTAATAACATTGCGTACATTATATGCATTTGCGACAAAAGAAATCAAATCCGCATATAAAAAATTCACGAATTTAATTATAGGCCTGTTTTTTTTGGCTGAACTTTTGCATCAGTTCATCTTTCTTCTTCTTTTTTCCTGCTGAAGAGAAAAATATAAAATATAAATCGGTGCAAAAGTTTAAAAATCAAAAAAAAAAACAAGCCTTATTTCATTATTATATAATTTTGTTTTCTTGTTATATATGCTTTAAATTAAAACTATTTGTGAAATATTAGCATTATCGAAAGATTGCCCTTTATCGTTATTGCCCAACGTGAACAATTTCCAGCTGACGCGGCAGTTACGAATTACGACTATGCGTTAACTCGCGCCATTAATTAGTCCACGCAATTAATTAACAACGATTTGGACTTAAAGCTAGCGTGGGTAATCGAGAGCATTCGGAGCATAGCACTGAAAGGATTAAATGCTCTTAGTTCGCCGGCATGTAGCATAGCGCTTGGCTTGCGTTCCAGAGCCCTCCGTCATCCCCTCGCTCAGCCTTAGCAGCCGTGGCACCCTTAGGGTTCGCGGCGAACCAGCAATCGAGTTCCAGTAACGCCGAAAGGTCGCAACATCAGCAGCAACCGCCGCGACCGGAGTCGCGCAGCGACAGTTTCGCGCGCACGGATGCATTGCTGCGCGAGCATCGCCATCATCAATTGCAATCCGGTGTCATCAACAGCGTCAGCAACGATCATTCCGAGCAGAAGCAGATAATCGCGATTCAGGAATACGCTACATCTAGTCGAAATTCACGGCCCGAATCGAGGAATCGCGTTACTTATCAGAGCGTTGGAAGTTACAGTTCGACCAGCAGCAACGATCAAGTGGACGCCGGATTATTGGCAGTGGTCGATCAACCTGACCCTCTCGTGAGCCTCATTCAATCTCTAGCCGAGATCTCGCCAATTCGCGCGTCCCCGAGCATGACAAAAACCGAGAACGAACATCCTGGCGGCAGCAATACAATAGCAGCCGCTACAATATCTACCAGTGTACCTAGCAACAATGTCACTAATTGCTCCTCTAACCAGTCACCAAAAGCATGGCAGAATTGCACCCAGGTTTGTCTTCCCTTCACGCAAATCCCGCGCGTCCATGCGTAATTATTTCATAACATGCACTTGCCTCAGTTTTTTTATTGCGTGTTGCTGATTGCGTTAGTCACTAATTGAAGTTCAACATTAGTCTCAGTATTCCAAGCTTGTCCAGTACGCCTCGCTTGGCTGGTAGCGCGTAGATGAGTATAGAAAACGATGTGCGTTTATAGCTTGCCACTAATCGATGTTTCGTCAATTTGTTACACCCCGTCAAGTGTCTTTGGGTGTGTAATTATAATAATCGTTTTGAATTTCACATAGCCGCACAATGACTTGGCATCATCGTGGACCGAGAGAAGTGTCAGTCCCGGGAGCGCGGTCGTTAGCGGTGCATCGCGACCGCAGACACCAGCGTTTCCGGTCCATCCACGGACGCCGTACGTCAATAACGCATCACCAACGGTGACGTTCGCCAGCGATCGCACCTATGTGACGTCCAACAATAGCTACAATGTCAGCAACAACAATAACAATGAGGCTAGCGGAAATAATAACAACTATGGCGCTGAACGAACGATATATATCGAAGAACGAAGGGAAGTCTCGAAGGAGACGGGACTTCCACCCAAGAGTCCGACAACACAGCGGTAAGTTGTATTTTCAATACTTATTTCATTTTTAACATATAATTACATGAAATTAAAAAAAATTAACTTTAAGATTTTTTGCGATTGAATAATCTTAATCCAACAGCTTATATACGTTAGGTATTATTATTAATACTTGCAACATTTTAATCAAAATATTAGGTAGCGAAATTGACAATTTCTACTTTATGATGTAAAATATATATAAATTTATATATATTTTCATTTTCTTATATTCTTAGAATTTTTTTATCTTGAATTTTGATGGGAGTCAGAACTGGGATACACTGCAGTAGCTCTTCCGGTGCTGAACATTTAATAAATTTTAGAAAAATATTTTATTTCAAGCTTCAGGCGTATGACGTAAAAGATTTTCCTTGAACACGATGAAGGATCGCAAAATGACGGTAATGATGACGAAAAATGATATAAATGATGATTCGTGATTTTAGACGCTTGAGTTTCCCGACAAGCGGGCCGCTTAAACAAACGCATAACAAACGATGGCCGCTCACTAACCAATCGGCATCGTTCGACTATAGGTAATATATATACGAAGAATCACGCGAGCGAGTGATTGTAATTGAATATGCAATGAACGGCTTTAGAATTAATCACAGCGATGAAAAGCGTCGCGTCTTAATGTGCACTATGAATGTTTTGTGTCATGTTACTAATCGCGCGCGGGATTGATACGCCCGGGAAATGCATCCTGTATCATAAACAATAAATCACTTTTTACACAATATCATATAAATTGCAGAAAACGCTTCTACATTGGATTTTTTTTCTTTTATGTCTTTTATATAATCTGAATAACATTGTTTTCATGTATAATTTCATCATTTTCCCTCCAAACACAAAGCAACAATAATATTATATCAATATTATAATTTCCCACTCAACAGTATAAATGTAATATTACACGTGTATATTGTACGTAACGCATTTATATTGTTGCGTAAAAAAATTATATAATAACATTATATGTTATTGTTATTTTGCATTTAGCGGGATTTTACTTGCATCTTTGGTGTTTATCGTTGTTGTAAATTATAAATGTTTATTACAGATTATTTACAACTATTATTTTGTGTCTACGGAGTTGTATTAGGAAGTTTAACATATAGTTGATCGTATCATGATGATAAATCGCGGCCACGTATGGCCATATGTGTGTTGCACCTTCGAACTAACAAGAACTCGCGCTTCCCTGCATCGTGTGTCATAGAAACTTCTCACAGAGCAAGTATGTTACATCGATGAAATAAACTTTGTTGTTGAAGAAGTAACATTTCCATCATCCTCACTGAGTATTCCTTGGGAAGGGGTGGGGGGGAGGGAGGGGGGAATTCTTTCCTATCTATCCTTCTTTCTGCTTCTCGCTACACATGTTCTCCCCGTTTAACTTTAGGGACACTTCTTTCGCCTCCAAAATTCTCTTCCATAATGTGTATCATCCTTTTCCTCACGATGTGTATTTTCTTCACGATGTATAGCACTGTGCACGAGTCAACCGACACACATCTGTCTGCACGGAAATGTTGGTTGGACATTTTTGCAGAATGTCTTCTAACGTTACATTCGGTTGTTCCTTTTGCAGTAAGGACCGACCTGTTTCTCCTGTAAGCGAATCGACGATGTCGCAGCCGCAGGCTGTTTCGCGCAGTCCTGGAACACCGACTCACGTAGAATTCGCCCAAAGCCCTAAGGTAAACATCGCAATATTATGTTACGTCCATATTATCTCGACGTTGTTTCAATCTCATCACGATGATAGAATAACGAAGCTATTTAAAGTCAACTTCAATCATTAAAATTTCATTTAAACCTTTAAAATAATATGATTCCTTAATTATGAATTTAAAATAATTTTTAAATTCATATTTTTAATACGAATTTGAAATAATATGACTTTTAGAGATTGATTGACTTTTGAAGATTGAAATTTTCTATTGAGAAATAATTTGAAAATGGATATAATAATTGAAATAGAACATTCGAAATTAAATATGTTGGAAGCTTCATATTTTATTTTAGGTATAATATTTTAGTATGCAGATAGGAGATAATATATTCTTGTAACTTTTTTATTTTGCAGAGTGCTACGTCATATACGTCGATCAACAGTGGAGGTCAATCTTCGCCGCAAGTTCAATATTATAATTCGAGACGCTCCAGTGTTCACTCGAACACCGAGCCCCAAGAAGTAGCCGATGTTAACGTGAAATTTGTACGCGACACTAGTAGAATATGGTATAAACCTAATATATCGCGGGAGCAAGGTAATTTTTATATAAATCTGAGATTATTTTTATCTTCTTTTTTGTATTTATTATTGTAATAGATTGGAAAAGAAATATTATTTTAAACGTATTTAAAATTACAATCACGCGTAAATGTAACATATAAGTAATAATAATTTGAACTTCATTTGCTTTACAATAATTTGAACTTCTTTACTATTTTATTTTTTATATCATTAAAATATCTGATTATGCAACAACATAAAAAAATTACAATTAAATAGTGTAAAAAATGAGCATCATGAAATTCTTTCAGCAATCTCTATGCTGAAGGATGCAACACCCGGCACATTCGTAGTGCGAGACAGCAACTCGTTTCCGGGTGCCTTCGGTCTGGCGTTGAAAGTAGCTACGCCACCTCCTGGTGCGCCCAGTAGTCCGCGAGATCCTTCGAGCGAGCTCGTTAGGCACTTCTTGATCGAACCAACATCGCGCGGTGTCAGGCTGAAAGGATGTGCAAACGAACCTGTCTTCAGCTCACTCTCGGCCCTAGTTTACCAGCATAGCTTGATGGCCATGGCATTACCTTGCCAACTGCTGCTACCCGAACCGGAGGCAGCTGCCAGAGCTTTAGACTCACCTGGTACCAATAGCACTCAGCAGCTTCTCGCTCAAGGAGCAGGTAAATTTATTACAGTTTTGCATATTTAAATAATACAAAAGAAGATACGATTAAAAAAGGATTTTAAGTGATTAAATTAAGATTTAAAATTCTTAAATATTTTATTTGCTTTTGTATATTATTCATAGATTAGATGTTATTCATATTTAGTAGATTAGATTAATTATGCAAGAAAAAAAATCCTAAATTTGATTATTATTAAATTTATATATTATAATATTTTAAGTTTTTTTTTTAGTAATTTATAATAAGTTTTTTTGATTTAATAAAAAGGGAAGAAATTGTTTCTTAAATATTTTTAATTTGTTTTTTTTTTACAGCTTGTAATGTTTTGTATCTCTTTACAATTGACACGGAGTCCTTAACCGGGCCACAAGCCATCAAGAAAGCTATCACCAATCTATTCGAGCAAAAGCCTTTACCGGTCGCCACAATTGTTCACTTCAAAGTCTCCACGCAGGGTATTACTTTGACTGATAATGCAAGAAAGCTATTTTTCCGTCGACATTATCCCACAAATAATATAAGTTATTGCGGATTGGACTCTGAAGAACGCACATGGGACTTCTCCAATGAAGATACCGGAAGATCTCTTAGCGCTCAGTATGTTTTCAAAATTTTTGTTTGATTAAGAAATGAAATTATATTACAAGAAATAAAATCTAAATTTTTATGATTTCTTATAAAAAAATTATCATAGTTGAGAAATATTTTCTGATTTACATTTACTTAATAGTTTTATAAAATTTTATTTGTTATAAATTTTATATATTTATGTGTAAAAAGAAGAGATTATAATTCTAAATCTTACAAAAATTGCGAATTATTTAAGCATTTAATCATTAAATTGAAATTTAATAATTTTAATATTTGTCTTAAATTTAAATAATTTACTTATTATTTTTCTTTCCAGTCGCTGTTTCGGCTTCGTGGCAAGGAAACCCGCTCATAAATTGGACAATCAATGTCACGTGTTCGCCGAATTGGAACCAGAGCAACCCGCCACGGCCATCGTAAACTTCGTAAACAAAGTCATGATGGGAAACTCCATCGCCAAAGCTAACATCGTTTAAAAATTATTACTTGCTCGCCGCAATCGCCAAGACTAACGGGCACAAACATCATCGTGAATTCGTTAATGGTTTTGTCTTTAAAGTCAATACCGACACATATCTTTAGCGCAAAAAAAATGCGAAGTCCAATTAAGGACAAAACGACTGAGAAGTTGGGGATAACGGAAAGAATGATCGATATAATTGATTCATGAAATCGTTATTCTGCTGACACGCGGAGGACATACGTGGATCCTTTTAAAAGATCCGCTGGAAATGGTTGCACGAATTAATCATTATCATTAACCGATTACTCGTAATAAGTCTTCGTGCATTTCGTAGCGTTGAATCAGTAGAACATTCATGTTGAAAACAGTAGGGATGATATAATTATCGATAACGCTGGGAAGAGGTCGAGGATCGCTCTCTTTGGAAGAGAATTCGAGGAGAACGAGAAGCGATACGTGAATCGATTCCATCCTCGCGTCAATATGCAGTCAAGATAAGAAAGTTGTTGTTGATTATCGTTACTGTTGTGATTTAACGTAGCGAATAGTGAAGCTATAATGTGTATGGTTTAAGAAGGGTAAGGTGGTCAAATGACTACGTTGGTAAAATTTGATATATATAATAAAATTATTTTATTATATTTAAAAAATTATTATAAAGTCATGTAGTGTCATGAGTATTTTACGGTATATTCATAATAAGATTAATTAAAATTTAGCATATATACTATTTAGCAATTATTGAAATAATTCAAATTTTACGATATATTTCGATAAAGAATATTTAAATGATGTTTTCGCTCTCTTCACTCTTGTTATATATAATATATCTTAATATTTTTTGAAAGTTTCTAAGCGAAATTTTAAAGTTTATGATTTCGCCACCTTTCCCCGCTTATGATATGATCAATCCGCACGCGAACTTACCGATAGCTCGTAGTCATAGTTGAAGAGAATCAACCGTGCTCTTCGTGCGATCTACAAAGAGCATCGAGTATTCGAAACGAGCGTATCTCGCGTAATACTGAGTGCGTTTTCGATTTCGGAAAACATCTATGCATTGCGCACATATAAACATACAAATACATTTACACGTTGGTACACATACTACATACATGTAACTATCATATGAATAATAACAAAACTTATGTTCGCGCTTTAATAATCGATTCAAGTTGAATATACGATTTAGGCTGCGTTCAGATATTCACTGCCAATACTGAAAATCTATACTACACGTTATGAGCTCTGGCAATGAATGTCAGAATGCGATTATTATCTTCAAAAAGTATTTTTTATTTTCATTTTTTTATTAAAAAAATGTTTTATTATAGAATTAAGTATAGAAATTTATAAAAATACATAATCACAAAATAATTGGAATCTATCGTTGCATTTTATTTAAGAATTCTAATTTTTTCGAACTATCTACGGTAAAATTTACATAACGAGTAGATCGTTAAATAATGCGCGAGCATCGTAAATTCATATATTATCATGTTATACTTGAGACTCTCGAGTAATATTTGACAGAGAATGTTACATCGTTTGCAGAGTATATATTATACACTCAATACACATACACGCACGTATAAAATCCCCGTGTCATGCTCCCTCGATGTATGAAAGAATGGTGTTATAAATAACTGTAAATACGTCACGAGACAATGTCGCCTTAAAAGATGGCCTCAAAGAGACACCTTGAGAAAAATCGTCGCGAAATGAATGACAGTCCGCGACTCATGGAAGAAGCAATGCTATGTTTAGGATCAGCTCGAAAATCACGCAGGTTAGGATGAATAATGCTATTTGAGGAGGAGTATGCACGTGACGAGGCAGTATCGCGCGTATTCTTTCAGTAAATCCATAAATTCTTGCCATTTCGGACTCGTATATCGTCGAGAGCTTATTCTCGAAAAGCTTTATATCTCGACGGGCACGACGATGAGCAGTCAATTATTACAATCGAATCGATTATATTGTAATTACGACAATACGACGGCGCGAATGGACCGCTGATGTCTGCAGTGATCGGCCTTCCTTTCGATGTCGTCGACTTCTTCGTCTATTTTCGCGATCCCTTTTACTTTTGTCTTCCGAACGAAGGTCGGTCGAAGTTTCGGCGTTTTCTCCGTTCTCCGTGAACTCCTCCACGATTGCGAGAGGGAGGACCCGTAGTTACGCAATGTGCTAGTCAAAATTCGTACTGTATATTCGATGATCAAGAAATAGGTTAAACGGTGACCTTAGGAGCCCTTTCCGGGTATGCTTGGCCCTTCAATGGCGGCGAGCGCGAGGTACACTTCGTGCTAAGACTACATGTAAAATGATTGTAATGTGCTTTATCTTGTAATAATGGGCTCGAAACGACATCTCGAAATGATTGGATGCCGTTGAAAGGATTAAGGGCCCGTTTGAGAGAACCGACCATGTCTTCTTTTGCGTTCTTTCTTCTCTTCAGCGTCCGTCTGCCCTTTTTTTTCCGTCTAGATTTCCTCTCGTACGCGTCCGAACCCGACTAACAGCGTAACATTAATTTAACATTCAGTCATTATAATAATAATTATTAATATTATTATATACTTGTTTACTCTATTATATTCTGTACGTTTGCGCAATAATTGTACCGTTGCGTGCCGCATGGGTACGCGCGTATAGTTGTAATAACAATAAATCATATTCACAGCGTGTTTTGATTTTAATATTTACCCTGCTATTTTATTATATAATTTACGGTCCATGCCGTTGCACAAATTTCAACATATATATCATTATCTTTTATTATTATAAATAATTGTTACAGATAAAGATATAAGCGAAATATTTCTTAATAATACAAAAACAATTTTATTAAACAATAATGTGAACAGTACAATTAAATGGCATGTATTTATGATAAAAAATGGATAGATCAGTTCGTATCACAGATATAGTTTGTTACAGTCAAATGATGTAACTATGTAATATATATGCGGGATCGCAAAGTCGCATAAATATGTATTATTTACTGTTTATATCAATTTCGTAATAAGGAGATATCATTTTATTAATATTTAGCAAAGATTTAATTTTGGTTTTTATTATAGATATTAAATTATTATACTATATTGTTACTAAAATTTTGAGAGAGAGAGAGTTTTATTAATCTTATCGTGTTACAATAAATTCTATTTTCTTCTAGTAATTTTATCTCGTAAATTATTATAAAAAGTCATTCACAATGATTATATTTCCCATCAATTACTGATATAAAACAGAGAAATTTAATATAAAAAGAAATTAAATAACAAATTAAATAACAAATAATGTGTTTAACATTTCCATCTATATACGTGTTTACATTAGGTTTTTAAATAAGCTGTTTTAACTGCAGTAATTATGTAAAAACCATCATTAGAAAAGTAGATTTAACACATATAGTTACGGTTGTTTGAACATTGATATCATGAAAACATGTTTTGCTAACGGCAAACTCACTGACCTACTACGTATCTCGTCATGTCAAACAAATTCACCAGAATGTACTTACTTATAGTTTGAAAATTTTGTCTTATTATTCTATTATCTTGTTATTTGTTAACACAGAGATTTTTTTTGCATTAAGTATAAAAAAATCTAAATTAAATAATAACATAAATTTTGATAATAAAATAATAGACGAATTTTCAGGAAATATAAAGCAAACATTAAATTTGAATAGATTAGTCTATAGTTGTATATATAATATACTGTATATACAATAGATTAGTTTATAGTTGTATATACAATATAATGTATATTGTATTTAATTTATAATTTACATTATATTTAAATCACTATTATTTTATCAATATATAAATATTTATAAAGTTTGAATTCTTTTCTTTTTGAAAAATCAGTAATCAGCATCAAAGATAATACAATGTGCTAAGTATAATGTCATTACTTTTTAGATTTTACTGATGTTACAAACTGCAATATTATTGATTCAAATCATCGTAAGTTGACATCGATAAATGTATTTGACCTCTAACGTTTCAAATATCTCATCCATTAATCCCGAAGTCTCTGATCCGTTGCATTACTGAAGAATGAACGTCATCTAGCGTAGAAATAAAATCCCGTAATCCAAGCCCGTAAGGCAGAACAGTGAAACCGTCGTGTTTCACGTGGCCGTATGAACCAGCGACTGGTTCCGGCTGCGGGTTTGCCAGTCAATAAGGAACCTTTGAGACGATCGAGTATCCTTGGCGCGATCAAAGCACGCTATGAGTGCCGGCGTCGAGTCGATCTTGTGCGTAATCCTCGGAGTTTCGGGGATTCTCGTGCTGCATCCGGCAAACAGTATTCCATATCGTGGTAATTACACGGTAAAACATCCGCAATACGATCTCTTAGAACAAAGGATATTCAAAACGGAAAAAATACTGGATGAAGAAAGTGGGTTGGTGTCGTTGATGGATAATTAGAAGCTTGTTTGAATGAATATGTGAATTGATTTATCTTTTAATGTCTTATTATAAATATAATGATCTTCAAAGATTAATAGGATTTTGTTTTTAGTTAGGGATTACTGGTACTATGTCATTTCAAAGTGATGTGTTTTTTAATATATCTTTCGGAGATAAATGTAATGTGTAAATATTAAAATTTTTTTAAAAATTCTTCTCTTTCTTCTTTTTCTCTCTCTGTATCTATTTTTCTTTAAAATGCTTAAATTAAAGAAAGAAAAAGAAGAAGAGAATTTAAGTTTAAATTAATGTTCAATTCAGCAAAAAAATATAATAAATTACAAATTAAAATTTAGTTCTTATATAAGAAAATGTAATTACTGTCATTTGTCACATTTAATTCAATTACAACTTCTATTCAATGATTTTTACATATTATTTTTGCTAAGTAACGTTCAATCATGTTAATTAAGATGCGCCTTTCTATTCGCTATATGTACGTTAACCGTTCTAGTTTTTTTTTTCTAAGAGAAAGTAGATTATATATAAGAATACATTAATAAAGAGTACATTATAAAAGAATGTTATATTGTCTTGCCGAAATAGTTAATGAAAAAAATATATCAATCAATGAGTTTTACGCAAACATAAGAAGAGTATTCTTAGCATTTCAAAAAAACATGATACAAACGTCAAGACGTAACTGATAGACATTTTTCCTTATAATCAGAATATTCTTATAAAATTTGAAACTTATAATGAAACTTATAATAAACAAAATAATTATTTCTTTAATGTTATAAAAGTTTTAAAAAATTATGAAACTTTAAACTTTACAAAGATTTACAAAGATTTACAAAGATTATTATGTGTATTCTCTGTAATCTAATGAAAAGAAAAGTCGCTAAATTTTAATATAATTAATATAAAGAAACATTAAATTTAATGTAATTAATATAAAGAAAAATTAAAAATTATTTTACAACATGAAAAGTACAAATAATAATATATATAAATCGACATATAGTTTGCAGGATGTCCGTAACAATCAAAAATTCCATCTATGTTTGAATTCCAAAAACGGAGAAAAAGAAAGACTCTTATTCGCTGAAGCAAATAATAATCATCTTCAAAACACACCCAAAGAGTTT